CGAAGAGAGTTCGCAATGTGTGCAACATGGAAGTGCAATGAAACAGTTTTGTTTAAGGGAAGTAGATGGAAGTAGTCTTTAATTGTCTTCCCAGAGACATCTTGTCCACTTCCATGTTGGTGAGTCAGAGCTTACAAGTTGTGCTCCCCATGCCCAAAACACCAGTTACTGCCACGTCTTAATCCTGTCAAAGTGAATAGAACCAGTGGTTTTCCATGGTTTTCCAGGTCTTGATTCATTTTGGACTCTTTCACTTCTCCACTGCGAAGCGGGTAGTCAGCTGGTTTGGTTTGGAACATTGACAAACATAGTGCAACAATGAGTTTCCTCAGCTGCCCTGATCTATCCCATCGGTGACCTTTTTCCATTCGGTGGATCTCTACGATCTACGTCGAACCACGGCCGGATCCCCACCGCCTCTGCGCACTCACCCGGAGCTCCACCGCGCCTGACGCAGTAGCCGAAGTTCAAACACTCTTCCGGCCTCGCAGATCGGTGCTGGACCACGTGGGACCACGTGACCACGGGGCATCGCGGCGGTGTTCGGTCACCGTCACCGGGTTCGACGGGAAGCGCGGTAACTGTGCGCTGTTTTCTATGCAGCTGCTGGATGCTGCTGATGGGCTGCTGATGGGTCAAGAGTGGGTTAAGCAACGACTTGGTTCGGCTGCTGTTAATGAACTTTAATTCCTGTGCGCTGTTCATGCTGTTCTCTCCCAAGCAAAAAAAGGTGTGTCTGATGAAGCATCATTTGGATCCTGTGCGCTCAAAAGACCCTATAAGCTCTGTATGTAGGAAAGCTTCTTTATTCGCTGCAACACCAGCAACGGTGTCACTCCAAGTGAGAGCCATTCATGGGCTGCAAGGGGCCAAGCTCCATGAGGCCAACACCCCTCCGGCGTCTTCCCCGACCCTTGGAGAAGTTCACATCTCGTTGGATGAGCCCGGGTCTTCCGCGCCCCGGCACGAGCCCAGTCTATTAATCCAATGATCAATCTACTTCGCAGTGGCAGATTCATCTACTTCTGACAGGGTCTGACCACGCCTGACTCTCTACACCACGCCTTAGACCACGCCTGACGACTCAGCTTGTACAAAGCACAAATGCTAAGATGTCCTTTTCTCAGTAATTATCTTAGCGTTTTCCACGTGTCCTTGAAAGTTGTTTGTTTCCGTGCCCAAGTTTCTTGTCCAACCTTCTTCTGCGTTCCCAGCGGCACTAACGCGCTTTGACCATTGAAGCGCGGATGAAGAAATCGCACCAGCCACCTGCGCCATTTGGTGGAGCTCATCGTAGCAAGAGCTAGGTGTTTTGAGCAGCACATAAACCCTTACAATGGACCCTGGATGGGTATCTTCCCTAGACACCGGTGATTTGTGCGGCTTGATTTGAGCATGCTTTGGTACCACAGCAGGGAAACCAGCTCTGCTAAGCTCGAGGAGACACGTCAGTTTTATCCGTCTCCCATCCCCCAAGACCATTGATTTCGTGTCTAGCTTTGTGGTAAAACACTCCTCATCTACTTGCCATGTAAAACACGTGTCTATGGGTCTATCACTCACAATGAGCTCTCTTTGCAAGCACCATTTTGGAGTTGAGAGACTGTTTTTGTGGCCAGCTTGGGGCCTGGTTGGTTTTGGCTCTGAAATGGTGTAAATAGCCTAGAAAGCACAGTAGCTCTGTACAGCACCAAACACTCTTGGCTCAAATATGGCTAGTGCCAGGGTTCAATACCCTTGAAATCTGTGCAAAGAGTTCTCCTTTTAATCGAAATACTGAGCCCAAACTAATGCAAGTTATCATCACTACCCAAACTCTGTGCAAAGAGTTCTCTTGAGTTCAACCTGCAAACACACTCGGAAAATTGAAACCGGCTCCTTTTCCTGTCCTCCGCTGTTCCCCTGTTCCTCAGCTATCTTCGATTTGGTCCAGTCCCAAGTGCCCTGTCCCATCTTCCGGATGGGGTGCAGCGCACATAGCGCCGCCAAATGAGTGATATGGTCGAGTTTAAACATGTGTTGAAAAGTCACTTCAGAATCTTCAGAATATTGAATTCTATATATTAATATATAATATATATATACAGGACAATCCAAGAGTCGATATCAGGCACAATATGCTGACAACCAGTGCAAAACATAGAGGCTACTGCATTGGTATGATGAAGCTACTCCAAGCTCCAACCACTGTGACCGAAAATGAACGATGATATTACTCAACGCGCTTGAAAGATTGCAGTCAGCTTGGCATGCTTGGTGGGGAGCAGACCGAAAATGAACATCCCCCTGCTCACTGTTTGGTGTGGCGACAAAGCTCCCCGTGAGCATCTTCGGGGGTTTGCCATTCACAACCAACCACAACCCGGCAGCGAAGAAGATAAATCTCTGCATGATACTTAGTTACGCAGAGGCAAGCTGGGAGCATGTTGACTGCCTTGTTCAAAGTCTTAGGTGACAACAAAAAATGACCATTCACGTTTTGGTTGGCTCTCCCATGTGGTGAAATCAAACCCACCGTTCGCCTGGACTGTTGCACGCCAACAACCTCACATGGCTCTCCTTCCAGTTCGGGTCCTCCCACGCCTGGGCCAGGTGAAAGCCACAGGGACCAACAAATCGGGAACAAAAAAAACAACTCTTGATGTAGACTCTTGCAATAACCCCCCATGAATCCACAATCCAAATGGACGGGGTCTTTATAAATCAAGAGTCTACAGTGAGACTATGTGAGAAGCTCGAGGTCATGAAATGGACCCCCTTTGGACAAAATTCGGGCCTGCGAAGACCTCATCCGGCATTGTAATTACGAGAAGTGGACACACAACATATAGTGGTACATAGCCCACACATTCCATATGTAATCATATATGGAATATATGCCTCCGACCCTCAAACCTGTGACCGGTCGCACCAAAAAGCCCCACACGCAAAGAATTCACCATCATCTACCCAAAGAGTTCACGATGGTATCATAAACCTGCCAAGGACCACGTATTAAAAAAGAATACAACGGATTCACTGATCCACAGATCCACATCAAACACCCTCACTTGGTGTCTATGCCATGCAAGATTCAATTGTATTAAGTGGCCATGCATGGTATGAATATCTAAACATGTAGGTCAGAAAGGTAAAGTGTCCAACCAAACTGAAACAGTTTCTGACTTCTGCTCCAGGTGCGGGAAACTTGCCCACAAAAGCACCAAGAACTCTTTCCGGACTTTGCTCATCTCGTGGCTCAATGTCTCAGTACCCCAATCTCACCGTGTACCGCACCTGTGAGGTACACCGTAGACTTCTCCGGAAACCTCCGCCGCACGCCATGGAAGACACGCCCAGACAGCCCGGCCGCTCGACACATGCGCCGTGCGCCGCGCTGTCTAGGCGCACGCGCGTGCGCCGCGCGCAGACTGCTCCAGCGTGGCGCCAGCGAAAGTGGCGCCAGCCAAGCCAGGCGAAGTGGCGAAGCTCCGCTGCACGTGACGGGTCGGCCCAGAATCGTCCACATCGGCGCGCTGGCGGATCGTGGGGGCCGCAGGTGGATTTGGCTCCAATGAGGCCGCATGATGAGGTCGAGTGAAGGGAAAGGCGAGATGGAAGTTGAGGTGTTGATGCAAAACGCAAAAAAAAGACAATGCAAAAAAGTTGAGGTGTTGGACGCGACAGTTGTGATGGTTGCAGCCGTGTATACTGTGACTGTTGTGTATGCTTGTTGCGTGTTTGACTCCGAGGAACGAGTGAAACTCCAAGCAGCTCAGTCATTGCGGCCAGCATGCCAGCCGGTCTGTTCGAGCCAAACACACCGGGGTATCGACATGTCAATGCCTTTGCAGGGTTCTGGCAGAAACTCTCATCTCACACAGGGGTATCTTGCACTTTTGCTTCTGACTGCATCAGGTCAACTACGAACTTTTTGTGCGACACCTTGCACTTCCAAAAACCATGTGAGGAAGGCACTTGTGTCAGTTCCACCCAAATTCTTGGGTTGCTCAATGTGGCTCACTAATCCACTGCCCCTATGCAAGCACAAGACTGTTTCAGTTTTCCTCCAGCTAACTCCAAGCCTGGTTGTTAGCAACCTTGTCAGCACTACGCCTGGCTACACCTGAGGACCTGTATAATATCCACGTGGCCATTCTGTGCCATTCTGAGGTGCAACATGACACTCGATTCTCCAATCTCTACATTTCCATAACTCTTGTCAGCTCCCTCCGGCAGCAACCGCACCACCTCCAACATCCGAGGCGCAAAAAAATGACTTGTAGTACTACCAACAGAGGTTGAAGAACCCTATAGACTATCCCATAGGTACCCCAGTGAAGTCCTATAAGTCACTTAACCTCTCTTGGTATGGCTTTGGGTCATGGCACCAGGAGAGTCCCACCCGTTGACCTATCTGGTGTCTTTCCTCCTCCGTTGACCACATGGTGGACGACCGCTCCGGGCTGGCTTTGAGTTGCTTTAGTCCATGTCCCTGGTACGAAAGAAGGCCAAACCATGGAACATTGCCTCAGTTCTACGGCATTCTGCGGCCTCTCTCTACTGCGGCAAATCATGGCTTTCAACTCCTCTTGTCGAACACACAAACACCGGGCCGTGTAGGTCAAATCTTTGGTGCATCCAAAACAAAACATATTGTCAGAAACTGATTGTCACCATGCAGAACAGTTTCAGGCAACTTGGCAAACAACCAAATTCTGACCTCAGCGGTTTGCAGCACCCAGTGCTGCACGCGTTTGGTGTTTTCTCTTTGATCCACAAATGTCATCCTTCTGAGAGGGTGAGACTCGAGCTCGTTGGCTCGTGGGGCGTGTAATGGCCCAGAGGCTGTGAGTATCTGTGCGTCCCCGCAGTGAATCTAGAAAAAATGAAGAGAGCCTGCAGCACATTCAAATCTGTTCAATAGGTCGATGAACCTTGTTTAGTCTTCTTCTATTATGGATTCAAGAGTTCAAAAACAATCAGGCAATATAGAGATAAAATGAGATAACATTTAGATATCCAGGATGAGGCCCCAACAATTAGTGTATATAGTGGTCTTTGATGGTCTTTGTTTATTGGCTGGATTGAGTTTTGGTATCTTTTTTTGCAAAAGTATCATTGAACGTTCACCCCCAGTTTGGAGGCTTGAATGGAGCATTGTGCTGCACCCTTGCGGCAAATATCCGTTTCAATGGCCAGCTCCGTTCTGAGCCTTTGCTGGCGGAATCCGTTCTCCATCCCGGACCAACGAAGGAGGGACGCGTTCCTATTGTCCTTGTTCGAAGTTCTGCGGTTCAAACAAACTGTAGGCCGATGTAAAGCACTGCTCAGCCCGGAGCACCTGCTTGTACGAGACCTGAGCGGTGGCGCAGAAGAACCGGTCCACTGACTGGTCGGTGCACAACAAAAAGCAACGGGTAGCAACGGGTCTGTGAGCCAACTGGTGTTGTCTGGTCTCAACCTTGCCACCCAATGATGTGTTGTTGTATGTTTGCATAACATTAACATGCAAAGAGCAACGGCTGACTGGAAAATGGTGTTAATGTGCTTTGAACATCCATCGCAGGTCATAAATGTGAGGCCACACATCTTCAATTGATTATGTTCGTAATTTATACTATATTTGGGTGATGTTGGGGTGTGAGTTAGATAGAGAGACCTACATGCCACCGCGTTTTCTCTTCGAATTTCTTTAATAAAAGGTCTTTGGGCTGCCCGAGGTTGACATCAACCCCGTCTCCTCGGTCCAGTTGGGCTGCAGGTTTGGATGTCCGACGTTATTGGTCCATGGGTACTGTATTCACGTGTTCTATCCTTCTCTCATGCAAAAAATGCAGTGGGTGCATGGCTACAGTCAGTACCACAAGTCTATCTCCAATCAAAAATGCTTGTTTTATGTTGTTTTTGATTGTTACTTTGGATATAGTTTTGGGGGTCCGAAATGTGGATGATGTGGATGTCTTTTCATGAACTGGTGGATGATTGGATGCCCTTGACCTTTCAGTTTGCAACTTCTCTCAAATGAATGCTGGGAGGGAAAAAAAACAACGCTGGTGCGCAGCGGTCTCCTTCTCTCTTCGCAAAAGGCATTGTTGTAGCAGTCCAATCAAATCTTCAGAAACCCCTCCACTGGTCGCGCTGAACACCCACTCGATCGGGTGCGTTGCATCATGCGGCCGCATAGGAGAAGATCATGCAGGTGGCAGCTAAGGCGATGCTGGACTGAGTGAAGCGTGCCCAATTGACCTAAATCGCCGACAGCGAAGCATTGGAACCGCCCTGAAGGAACCGGTTGGAACGCTGGGGTTCCCACGGGTCATCCGCAGTTCATTCTGATCTTGAGCCCTGTGAGCTTTCTTCCAAACAAACTATAACAAACAAGCTTTCTTCTAATTCGAGATCCATCGAGGTCCAGGTGCAAGAGACGGACCGAGCGATGTTCGTCGGTCCCAGCGTTCCCGGGCGCAAAAAGGGAGGCTACAAGCATTGGAGAAACAGCTGATGAGCTTCAAATAATGGTACATGTATCAAGCAATGGTATGAACCAATGTGCCCAACTACATCCAACAGCCCGACCCGGCAAAATGCGGGAAAGATGCGATGTCTGACACGACCCTCTTTTCCGATTTCAAAGGCTACGGCCACTCATCAAATTTTATCCATCATCCTGATCCTTTTGGAATCATCCCATTAACCTCTTCCAGTTGGATGTTTTCTGAAACGACCTACCACTGAAGCCAGCCAGCCTCACAAGAACCTGCACTCCGGGTCACCGAAAAGACCGTCAAGTCCGCCACGAACTGCAGGCACAAGGACAAGCCTCCCGCGCGGAGCGCGGGTCTCCGCGGATCTCCACGGACGGTGGACCAACAGCACACGGGCTGTTAAGCTTTCGGAGAGGCGCTGCGTCCGGTACTGGCTACGAATGGTAGAGAGTTCTTTATAGAACAAAAAAAGAAACGCTGAACTCTTAGCCACCACCTTCTTTGGTGCGAGAGGCTGCCGCTTGCCAACGCCAAGGATTGCATTCAGTTGCTAGCAAATGTCCTTGTGACGTCTTGGGTGAGGTCATGCTCGAGTGAACTATATATCGGAATCCCATGGCCGACCAACTGCTCTCAAGTAGCCTGGCAGCTGTCCTCACAAGTGAGAGGGATGTGATTTTGATTCCTGTTCAACACCAGGTGTCCTCCAAGACCTCTGGGCCTGAAGTCAAATCCTCATACGCATGGGCTCTCCACTCTGAGAATAAGAATAGAGTCGAAACTGAACTCAAAAGGGCGTCTAATGATGTTTGATGTTCACCTATCTGCCAGGGGCGTCTAATGAGCACCCCTTTCAGTAACACATTCCCGATGTAAGAGAACCCAAGTAACAATTCCGATTTAAGAGAACAACGTTAAAAAGTCCCGATGTAAGAGGACAAGGCAGAACCACGGAATCCGAGATCGGGCGACACGGAATGACACGGTATGGGCTTACATCGGGTTTTCTTAAGGTATGTCCATTGGACACTCCTTAGGCTTAAGGGGTGACCAATGAGCACCTCTTGGTTTCCTCGGGTTTTGACCACCGACACGGAATGACACGGATTGACACGCAGGCGGCTGACGTCTCCAACGACCCGAATCCCAAATCCTGTCCATTCACAAGTATCCCTTAAAAAGTTCTGATTCTATACGAGGAGCCCTCAAAAGCACTTGTCAAACACTTAGATTTCTAAGGGGTGTCCAATGGTTTTTAGCTTAAGGGGCGTCCAATGGACACGGTTTCGATCTACCTAGTACGTATACCTGTGAACAGGGTGCTGGTTGGGTCTTGCATCAAGGGCCTGTTGTTCCGGTCAGGATCCACGTGCGGTGGAGAAGGTCGCCTCATTCTCATCGCCAGCCAGCTCCAGCAAGTGTATTGCAATTAGTTCATGCCGAAATGAAGAGGGTGCCATGCCCCCACAAAGCATTAGCGGCGTGATTTGAGAGTTGGTGGCACAAAGACACAAACCATGCGGGGTCTACATAACTAGCAGCTTGTGCGTGTGATTCTCGTTGCTCCACTCAGGATCCACAGCAACTGCCTCCCTTGGGACAGTGGCCCCCCCAGTCCGGCAATTCCGGCCTGACACTAAGGTGTAGCTGGATTCGGACATCGTCCCCCACATGCTGTTGGCTGCCTTGAGCATGCCTCAGATCCAACAAGTCGAACGATGCGCCAAAAACGACTGACCCAACTCTTTGTGTCATAATGAATAATTTAAAGAACATGAACATTCTATTGATATCTATTGTTTCTAAGGGACGATATTAATTGAATGTGAATTTCCCAATCAGCAACCACGAGGCGACGAAATCCAACCATCCCAGCTCATCCTCCAGCTTGTCTAGTGGGGTGAAGCCGGTGCAAACTGCGTGCAGGGTCCATTTCCACTCGTCCAACTGCGGAAGTTATTGTTTAAATCTAATTATATAAATTATATATAATTATTGTTTCTACTAGCTTCTTATTCCTAGTAGTAAGGCCCTTGCTCCTAGTAGCGATGCCCTTGTTCCTAGTATATCGTTCTTGTTCCAACTGCGAGGGCGAGTGGACTGGTAGTTGGACGTTGAAATGTCCCGTCCTTCTGAAATGTCAGAACGCGGGGAACCATTGGCGGAACATTGGCGAAGATGGGCGTTTTTGATCACCCAGTGTTGAAAAACAAAACACATCAAGCTTTTGAGCCTCTATCAGCACACAGGTCACAAGGAATATCTTTGTTGGGATTTCCGGTACTTAGAGACAAGGCATTGCTTTACCATTCCCATTCCCACTCCATGGGATTGCCACTCCCATGCCACTCCATTGGGGTTGAAGGTTGGGGGTCTTTCTGGGGACGGCAGTCCTCTACCAGTCCCAAGGGTCTGGGGCTTCATCGGTGGAACAGGTCGGACCCGGGCACCGGTCCCAGGCACCTAAGGTGGACATGAGGCTCAGGACCCCGAAGAGCACCAGTGGGGCCAAGTTGTGCATCTCCATGGTCAGTATGGCACGCGCATGTTGAGGGTAGGCCGCAGCAATGGGCCCAAACATGATGAGGCCTGCACCATCTGTGTCTCGTTTTTTGGGGGGAGCGGAGTGTAAAACGTGTATAGATAGATACATAGATGTTTGGATTGGAGCAAGGTGACTGACTGGTGTTGGGGCAGGAACCCACTGGCGACTGACTCGAGGGCGATTTTGGGGCCATTAGGGTCGAAATGTCCTGTTGTTCCCTCTTTCATTGTTCTATCTCGAAGGGCGATATGAACATGGGTGATCGAAGTCTCTAAAAGAATGCATAAAGCCAGGCACTTTCTCTGCAGAAAGAAGTAGAACCACTCCCCTTGCTAGTCCAAAGGAACTTGCCCCCCCCCATCCATTGGTGGCCCAAGCACCATATCTACGCGATTGATGGTCCTTACGAACGCTTCCTCTTACCAGTTTGGGATTCAATTGCTAAAGGCCTGGTATAAAAGTCCTGTCAGGTCCAAAAGGCAAGGGCTCTGTACATTAAAAGGTCGGTGATGCTGCATCACTCAGCCCATGTGTGTTATCCCCGTGTCTTCTTGTGAGTTAACCGTTTCGATGCAAACAGCTAAGTAGCTATAGACTATGGAATGAAGTTTGCCAGAAACTGTAGGGACAGTCTTTTCGAGCTTCTAACCCAAAAGAAACTGTAGGGGCATTCTTTCTGCCACTGGTCTAAGCCAAAATGACCCACTAGTGACACATAGTGATACTGTAAATGAAATCAAGAAACTATGTTCTACATATTTCTACATTGCTCTACTTTGCTTGAGGATGATGAGCCCAACCACCCTGCATTTCATCCAACAATCCCGCCTATAATTCCAGCGTAGGTCACCGTCACCACCTGCTTACTCCGGAGCGACGCGCCAGGCGCAACACCAAGTGTGTAGCAACATCCAGAAACCTCGTGGAAACCGACTACAACCGGTAGAAGCTGACAAAACACCGGCCAACCAAAAGTTGCGAGTTGCGACAACCCTTTCTCTTTGGAACCAACACAGGGAGACCTCGGACAGCTTGGTCATTTGTTTGCGCCCGGAAACCCTGTTGTTTGAAGATTACAACGGTGTGCTGATTCACCGTCCCACGCCTGCCATGAAAATTGGACTTGTTAATTCAATCCGCAGCTCACCCAGCGTGCTCTATAAACACGCTTAACACACATAAACTTTCGCCCACCTGTAGAAGCTGCATAAACCAACATTGAAATGTTGGAACAAAGCACAACAATACAAAACAGAAATTGAAGAGCAACACATTTGTCATGTCTGGTCATCATCTAAGGTCCCCTGCTGAACAGGAATCTCCCAGCCAGATCAGCCAGGCATGTGTTTTTTCATTTCTTGCCTACCGAAACCCAGGGTGTGATGGAATGACAACGACACGGCCACTCTTGATACCAGCGTGCCACTCAGTTTTGAACCCTTTTTTGGTTGCAAAAAGAGATACAGAGATACATATATCATATATAGCATCTTTGGCAAACCAAACCTCTGGATGTTCAAACCTCCCAAAATACAATCAAACGGCCAGAAGAACAAAAACGCGGTCCGAACGAGCAGGTTTTTGGTGTCCAAGCAGCATGGTGCATCTGACAGGCAAAATTCCGTTGCTGCAGTGCGCAGGTGGCTCGACCCACGGCAGCACAAAGCCCAAAGAAGGCACTCCACATCCATTCACCTTGTCAGTTTGGATGGTAGGACCAAGGGTGATTATTCCCAATATTTACCAATGAATCTGGTGACTCCAAGCCGAAACAAGTCGATGACAGAAACACTTCGATGACATGGCTGTCCACATGTCTGAACATTGCAGAATGCCAGTGATGAACATCTCACGCAATTCATCCTGTGATGTTCATCTCGGGAATGGTTGACACGTTCATCTCGCGAAAGCAATACCTTATTGTTTAGTGTAATGCACCTTTCCACACAAAATCTGTCTCAACATAGGAAGTCTTGACTGTTCCCTCTCCTGATAACGATGGTCGGTGTGATTGAACAATGAAGACAAATGTACCATGATTGCTCCGCTACTTCTATCAATTTTGCACTACTTTGGCGGAGGGTCCTGGTAGCGTTATTAAACGGGGAAGCGCGGGCGGAAGGCACATCCTCGATGTTGTGTCACCGTCGTGTGAAAAAAGGATCCCACAGTGGGCTGGGGACAGAGAGAGACGTATCATCAAGGGCCGCCCTCAAAATCACAGACAACAAACCAAGAACATGCCAACAACATGGTCAACATGCACAAATAGATACCAGTTTACACACTTGTGGCAGTCATCTGCCCTCTTTACTCCTTGCACCAGCTTTCACATCCTCCGCTTTTGGGCAGGCTATGTGGGAGGTTTCTTTGCAGTTCATGCAACGCCTCACAAAATCATCCTCCACGCATGTATGTGCCCACGTGCGACGTCTTCCGTTTGGAAACAGCTCATCACCTGTTCATCGGGACGACCATAAACAAACAAAAATTGAAAGAAGGGGAGTGGCTTATTGTTTAAACAGCTCTATGAACCAACACAATATTACAAAACCTTCGACTACTCTGGGTAGAGGAAGAGCTCCGTGTGTGGGTGGCACGCCCTGTGCGGGTGGATGAATACTATCAAACACTCGAAAAGAAACACCACATAGTCCAAGCCACCTCCAAGTATTACTTATAACTAAACTTAATTGGTATGTTTGTCCTGTTGCAATACAAACCCAGACCACCGGCTAGGAGTTGCGCTTTGTTGCGCAAGCCAAAAGCGAAGGGCTGATACGAGTCGCTGCGCTCACCGTGCGCAGACCCTGCGCTCCAGGGCACCGCCCTCCTCGCGGGCTCCGATCACCGTGCCGACCAACACAGCGATCAGAAGCAGGGGCGCAGCGAGGTGCTCCTCGGCCTCGATGGTCTCAGAAAAGTAGTGCTTCCTCGATCACTTCGAGAGAACATGGAAGTGGAATACTTTCGGGTAAGAAACTCATTTCACAGTAGCACTAGCTTGCTTAATGATGCCTCAGTAGTAGCAGTAGTAGTAGTAGTAGTCGTAGTAGTAGTCGTAGTGGTAGTGGTAGTGGTAGTGGTAGTGATAGTTCGTAGTCTCCAAGGTCACGGGTTTCCAATTCTCCTGCCTCGGTAGAGTGGGTGTGCATTTCGATTTGGGGCTGAAACATCAAAGTGGAGACTGACCATGGAGCCATCCTCAACTTTTTCGCACTCTTTGGTCAAGATGGCCTACAAAAAGACACTCAACTTCAGTGGTCCTGCCAGATTCATGTGATGTGCCACGCATTCCGATTCACAGCTTGCCAATCACACGAAGCACCACCTGAAAAACCCAAAGCAAACCAAGGTGGTTGTCCGATTGCTTGGATGGTCCTTCCGCTCTAGTCTTTGGATTGCGCAACCTTTCGGAAACACTGTCTGTCTAGTCTGCGCTTGGTGTGGTCCAAACATCCACTTCTGCCCCGTTCACAAGCCAACTGTCCACAAGGTCGCAATGCTGGACTGCAGGGCGATCCTGGAACGGTGTGAGGCATGGCATACCTGGTTTTCCCACAAACCCTCAAAAACCTGATTTTCCCTAACAAAAAACAGTTCATGTTTATGAAAACCTTTGTTTTTCATGGTGTTGAGGGCCGCTGGTACATGGTTGAAGGGAGGATGAATCCAAACGGCCTCAAAGGCGTCCTTGACACATTGAATTCAAGGGTCATCCTCGCTTCGAAACATTGGAGGAAGGAAGTTAGGAATCCCTCCACGATCTTCCCAATGAATCGGCTCCCCATGTGGTGCTTCGCCGATGTGGCCAAGCAGGGGCACCCAACAACAGTGGGTGTGAAAACTGAAAACTGGGTTTGCCGATCGATGCATCGACACGATGTCCTGATCGATGCAGGTGTGCAGTCTGACTGGATTGGGCAAACACAGAACAAAAAACACTGTTTGTTTGGGGGAAACGTGCAAAAGTGTTCCTGTCTATGTTACCCGTTACCCGGCTACAAGCTGGCGAGCATTTCCACCCTGTCCAAGCAAGAGCACCTCTGTCCGCACGTGTAACACACCAGCACAGTCAACTAGAACGGCTCAGCATGGCAACACCCAACCACGACTGCCCATTCCAGCCAAGGCACACGAGCAGCACAGCCGTAGCAGGTCCAACGTAGAGGCCGCCCAGCAAGAGCATGGAGCAGGCAGAAGAGAAGAAGCCTGGGCGAAAAGGACGGGCTGTTCCTTTAAAGGGTTTAGAAGGCTGTGACGCCTAGCCGCACAAATAAATACAAGGGCCGCGGGGTCACGATCATCTTGGCCGCGTGTGACATAAAAGGTTCAACAGGATCTGCCGCAGATTGCAGGAGGTTTATTGATACGTATTGATTTCTTATAAGCGCAGGTCTGATACTGTGATCATGCGCAGGTCACGTTCCAGAGTGCCTGGAAAGCTGAACGCCCCGAACTCGGAGATCTAAGATGATCTAAGTTGATCCACCAAATCTTGAAGATCTAAGCTCAGCTCAGAGCAAAGCTCGAATGCTTACATGTAAAGCAAGCTACTAAGCAAGCTATGCTATAGTCTTCGATCACTTCTTCGATCCTAATAGATGTTTTCCTGAATTGGAAAGGGCTTCAATCCAGCATCAAATTGTACAATCTCATAGATCGTCATAGATCATAGATGCCCACACAAAACGGACCATCCCGTGCGAAAACTCCTGGTCGCCTGGCCGCCCCGGTCGCCCTCCGGTCGCGCGGAGACAGCGCGTCTCAGGCTCCGGTCCGAGGCTCCTACCGACAAGGCCTGGACGGCTTGCTCTGCACCGTCCGGGACCACCAGGGGCTTTTCGGGATGCAACTTGGTGAACAAAGCACCGAGAAAGGCCAACGAAAGACCTCGGAGATCGGTTCCAGAGCGAGAAACTCAGCGAGCGAGTTCAGCCGGGAACTCCCGATGGAAAAAGCGGACAAAAGGCGGTGTGTTCTAGAAGGGGAGGTGGTCAGTGGTGTGGTCAGGTGTGCCATGCTGTGGGAGGTCAGGGCTTGTCAGAGCTGACCCTTTTCGCAGATGGCTCCATGCAGGAGATATTTACAGCTATATACCATATAGTACGTATATAATATATAATGTGTTTATATTTAGATCAGGTGTGATTTATAGTGTATGCTGATGACTGCTGATGACGGGCGGCGTGTAGCATAGACATGGACGGATAAATTATACAGTAAAAGGAATGGTAAGGGGCTTACTTCACCTTGATGAGCTGTCAATTGTAGTTTAGTTTGTCTCTGTTTCCCTTCAACAGTAAGACCTTTAGGGATGGTTTGTGGTTCCTTTTTGAAAATAAAGACATAGACATAATAGAACAAATTGTTCCAGCAAGGCAAGATACAGTGTGAATAGATGAGATCCAACACGCCAATTCCAAACTGCGGTGATAGCAGCAAAGTTTTTGCCAGGACATTGCTCGCCACCAGGGTGAATGCAGACAGAATGGCAGCTGAGCGCCCCTGTAGCCAGGCTGCGTGAGTGACCTCTCCCCACAAGAGTACTGTCACTAACATGCCGGAGATGAAAAGCATACCTCGGATTTGTCAAAAAGCACACTTCGCCGAAACGGTAGGAACGGATGCTTTCGAGTTCACTAATTGTTTTACATGTGGAACTGAGATGCCTTTTCCACCAAACGGCCTCATTTCAGGTGGTTTCTGCAAACAAACAAACAAACAAACAAACAGACAGACAAACAAACAAACAAACAACCGCACCCCTATTGAGCCGTGGACATTGCTGACACCCAACTCGACGAACTTAAGGCAGAGCCACCGTTGTGAGCGGACCGCGCAGCACGGATCTTGGTCATGATGCGTTGTATCAACGCTTCCTGAGGGCAAAATGCTTGCCATCAATGAGATGTGTTGACTCGTTGACTGAGGGCTGAGAATGCTAAGGAGATGTTAGACCCATGAGAGCAACGTCATCATAGAGAGAGAGAGAGAAAGAGATTATATATATATGTTTTATGAAGGTGCATATGAATATAAATATATATATATATACAGAGAGAGAGAGAGCGGCTCATTGGAGTTCCGTTCATAGCCTTCCATCTAATTCACCAAACAAATTGTCTTCAAAGGTGAATCAATGTCCACAGTCAACGCCAAGACCGGTGGAGCTGGCAGCTAACAGGCGAAAGTTCGACTGGCTTAGATCATTTCTAAGCAAATCATCTGGCTTTTCCCAATCAGTTCATCTCTGGGTTTAACCCTCTTTCACTGGTTGCGGCAAAAATTTGGTCAATATAAGTTGAGCAACTCAAAGACACCTGTCCGTTGGGGCGCTCAACGGCGCAACGGCCTACGGGGACTTTGGGGCTCAACGGCACACTCCAGACGCTGCAACCCACGGATGGGTTGAACCACTTCACAAGGAAGAGTAGAGAATCAAAAACGCAGCTTTCCACGGACATAGCAACAGATCTGTCACATCTTCGCATATATCCAGAGGTATACCAGTGCCCTCTCTCCCCTTGGGCCGTGCGACCCATCGCCTTTGGTTCATCTTCCGACCCCATTGGAGAACCCCCCATAGGTCCGACGGCCCAAGACACTCGATGAGACGCTCCACTCGGCAGGACTTCGTCATGGTGACGCAGTCGAGTTGAGTCCGCTGCAATGAGCGCTTCACTCGCTGGCACTGGTCCTTCAAGGGTTTTGAGGGCTGCAACAAAGGGGTAGAGGGAGGTAAAAGGTCAGAGTCGAAGACTCCCGTCAGTGGATGGGACGAAAAATGGGTGACAGTTGAGTAGGGCACTCAACGCATCGTTCATCGGATTGGATCGATTCATCCACGGGAGAGTTGGAGATCGACCCCTTTTTGTTTTTCCTGGAGGCAGTTCCAGTTCCAGCAGAGTAGTATGAGTTTAACCAAGTCTAAGGTTTACCAAGATTTCAACCTGCTTCAACCATTTTCCACCGGCAAATGCTGCATCATGTGACCAATTCCTTAGGGCGTCACAGGACAAATGTGGGCATGCACTCTGTACATCATTAATACAATATTATATACATGTACTGTAATATATACAAATATATTGTAATTGTATAAATTGTATAATTAAAGTCATTTAAATAGCAAAAGGATGTAAACGGCCACAAAGGCAGCGCGACACTTCAAACATCCACTGCACCGAACGGTCGAAGACGGTGCCCCGAACGGGGCACGGGCAGTTCCACCGCTCGCCGGCTCTCCCTGATGCCCGACGGCTTCCGAAGCAGTCGGTGTCCGGAGCGCAGAGGAAGTCGGGTGTCACCGAAGAAGCACCAAGTGATTGGTCCAGAGGATCGGCGGATCTGTGAGGATCGAAAACATGCACAACGGCTGGGCACAACGGCTGGGGGCGGGTCTTGCAGGTTTTTGATCTGTCTCCCAACTGTAGTTTTGACTAATAATACCCTTCCATAATATAATAATATATACAATTATATATATGTAAAATGGTGAGCGGAGGATCAACAGCAACTTGTAAAGGCAACTGTCACAACTCAACCAACGGGGATCAAAGAACTCCGTCACGATCAAAAGCAAGCGGTGCGCTCACTTTTCCATTGCGCAACCGTCGGGGGCTCGGATGAGCCAGACTCAAGGGCCCTTGTGCCAAAATGGTCACATGAGAGGGCCGCCATCTCATATCATGATATGCATGTTCCAATGCATACAAATTCACACGCCCTCATGGCGGTGCGAAGATGGGACCATGCTGTCAGCGACACTGTTCAGTCACGCAGCTCTCGGCTGAATCCGTACTTCTCAGCAAGACCTTCAAAATCAGGCTTCTTCCATTTCACCTTTTCAAGGTACATGGCAAAGTCCACGGCCTTGGTAATCTTGGATGGCACTTTTCCACCAGTACCATACTTTGACAAAATGAACTGGAGGTACTGACGCATGTCTTCTCCTTTCTTCGAATTCGTGCGGGCCGTCATGATCATTTGATCATACGTGAGGCTTTCAGCCTTCACCTTATCCATACGACAGATGGTCTGTCCCCATTTCTCTACGGTGCTGATTCCTTCAGGCAAGGGAATCAAGGGATCGGTCACATTGGCCACTGGGAACAAGTTCACCTTTCCAGCTTCATATCCCTTTGGGCTCACAGCAAGGTGCTCCGGTGTCATGGTTGAACCGGTAGGCTCATTGGCATTCAAGAGCTCCCACGGATTCGAGGCCTGAGAGGTCTCATCGGCATCCATGCGTCGCTTCGCAGCATCAGTCATGGCGGACATGGAGGCATCCACGATGACCTGAGCTCCCACAACATTTGGTCGGAGGTCTGGACGAATCTTCACCCAGTCGTTCACACGCTGGAGCAACTGTGCACTTTGTCCGAGACGGACAGCTCGATGGAGAAGGCCGGCACACATGCTAAGATCCTGATCCGTCAGTGGTGACCGGATGTGATATTCTTCATCATCGGTCTTTGCTGCTTTCGACATGATCCTGCGGGACTGAATGGGCGACACTTCACGGTCGTGCGCTCCTTGGAGCAAAAAGGCTGTGCAAAATTCGGTTTAACCGATGCGGCACAAGAAAAATGAGAAAAACAACCAGGACGACTCCTCAGCAACGAACTGGTTCGAGGTGGCTGGCAATGGATGGTTTCTCAACCTAACTAACAAATTCTTAAGTTTCACCAAGCAAATGTTGGATTCACTTCACAACATGCATGCATGGGCCCTAGTGCTCATCTAGTTGACGTTTCTCTGCTTCTGCAGCTCTAGCCTTGGCTTTTTCTTTCTTACCTGACTCTACTCCGGTGTGGATGGTGTATTTCCAAGTGTCAACGAGTTTATAGAAAGGTCCTGTGTCGGCTCGTAGTTTAGTCAACACGTCTGCACACATGAAAATGTTACTAGTCCAAAAGACCATGATGTTCTGCAAGGACATGCTTTCCTTTGCGATGGCATAGTCGATCTGAAGTCTCTTCTCTACGCTAATAGTAGGAGAGCTACACGATTTTGTGACTGCATCGAAGAAACCCTTGCTATCAACAACGAGGCATGCTGTCTTTTCTGGGACTCGTTCTCGAAATGTTCGAGGCGATTGGCCTTCTAGGATCTCAGCAAGCAGGGATTGAATCCACTCAATCGCATCAAGTCCATTCTGACCGGACATGGTTTCTGCTGCTACTGAGGAACGAACTACTCGTCGTAACTTCTTAGAACTCCAATCTATTATCCATACAGGGGATTCCTTGTTCTTCATGATGTCTTTGGTCGTAAGACATAGGATGTATCCACCTTGACTTTCACCGTTAGCTCTAGTACACCAGCCAGCATCAGCAATACACACGATGTGCCAATCTTTTACTGGAACGTGGCTAGGGAATTTCAAACAGATTTTTCTAGTTTTCATTTCCCTCACGGCTTTGTTGTACAAGTGGACGTGTTCAACTTTCCCCTTATCCTGAACCCCTTGAAGATACGAAGCCAGGAATGCCTGTTCCGGACGTGTCGAGTTCGACACCCAGGCTAACTGACCGGCGCAAGTTCTAAGGATAGAAGGATCTGTAAGGGACGTTGAAGCGTTTCCCAAAGTCTTCGTTTCAACATGTTCCAAATTCTCGATGTAATTTTCTTGTCCTACTTCAATTTCCATCGTATTTGGATTTTGTCGAATCTCTACTCCTGTATATCTTATTGTGAAAGTACGATAGTCACCGAACGGCAATTTCTTTCGGAGTCGGTCCAAGGCTTGGTCCATTTCCTTGCAACCTCCACCTAGTAGGTCATCTACGTGTACTCCACATATGCCTTTCAAAGTGTTATCGGACTTACTCCTCAACATAAACAAACATGGATCCAACTGGCTCTGGGTTCGCCCTGCTTCCTTAAGTTCCCTGGTCAGGCGGGAAAACCAAGCACGTGGTGCCTCAGCCAGGCCGTAGGCAGCCTTCTCAAGACGAAACAGGTCATCTGTACTCAAGTTCATCCATTGTTTGTTTTCTGCTGGAGGTCGAAAGTAAATGTTTCTGCAAGATTCATCACCTGACAAAAACGCTGTTTTTATGTCGGCTCCCCATAGCTTCCACTTGGATGCTGAACAAATGGATAGAACAAGGTGCTTTGTTTCCTTACGCAAAGTTGGACTGTCTGTTGCTACCTTTCCTAGGTCCGGGTCCTGCCATCCTACCAAAACTAGACGTGCTTTTGGAGTTTTGGATGTGATATCAGGATCGGATGACTTTTTCCATACCAAGACCCACCTTGCTCTAATTATTCTTTCTGTAGGAATCCCTCTAGCCTTGCAAAGTGAAGTCACCTTATTGTCAATCCAGCTTTGCCATTCCTTTTGCATAGCTTGGAGAAACAGTTTCTTGTCGTGTGGATTGAGTTTGCGGAACTGGACTTCAACCCTTCTTTGCTTCGCCTTGGACTGCGGCGCAGCTTGCAAGCATTCTTCAAAAAGATTCCAGAGACACAGAGGATTCTCAGTGATGTCTTCGGGATGGACGTCAATGGAAAGTTCGAACACATGTTCTGCCTGTTGCAATCTGGCTGTTACCGCTAGTTCGTCTTCACCAGCTTCTGGAACGGGAACATCTATGCCAGATGGTTCGATCTCGTTCGATCGTGAGTCTACTTCAGGCATTACTTCATCGGTGTTATCGGGTCTATCGGATTCGGGCGGATTAGTGTCTGTCTCTGGTTCCAGGTGTGCAGGTACAGCACCTGGGTCAGGCATGAGCTCATCAAGCTCGTTGTGCATTTGAAAGCCTGACTGAGATCCCTCTTCTTCAAGAGGAACTGGCGGTTCGGTGGGTGCATAACTTGGAGATGAATCAATTTCAACAACCCTTCTACGTTTATCGGCTGGCTCAAGTCTATCCTCGGGGATCTCTTCAGGAGCAACAGCGGCAAATGGCTGCTGATTCAACTCTTGTTCATGCATACTGCCGAGAGGTGGAATCTCGCCTCGTGATCTCTTTTGCCAATATTCAGGGGAACGATAGAATCTACGTCTTATCTTATGTGGTCTACCCTCCGAATCAGGTCTGTCATCGATGGTCTCAGGATGAGGTTCGGCTTTTACATCTTCCTTGAGTTCGAAGTCCTCTGGACCAGGGATGTCCTTTGTGAGATCATGAAAACGAGCGACGCCCTCCGACAATGATTTACCTGCAGCTTCCGTTTCCGGTGCCAGCTGGCCTAATGCAAGTTCTCTTGCAAGCGCTCGAAACTCAGTTTCGTCTTCGGACATTGGACGGAGGCCTTCTGGTCGACATCTATAGAGATAGCCATTATAGCTTGTCCAAACTAGGCGTGGTATGGGACTATTTGATGAACTTTCTACCCCAATTACTTTGGCAGGTCCTAACCACTTACCATGTCTTGTGCTAAGCTGACCTCTTCCTGCTGCTCGAAACATGTATACAAGTTGACCTTGTACGTATGGTCCTCGCATGGGACGATGTCTATAGGCTACAGCTCTTCGCCAAACATCCTTCGCATGTTCTTCATGAAAGGCCTTGGCCGCTTCTTCACGAAGGCGAATCTTGGATGCAAACGATGGATCTGACAGGATTTGCGACTGGGCAGCAAAATTTCTTTGCTCATCCAAGTCGGCAAGCATTCCCACATGGCGTGAGTCCCTTCCCAAGAACCATTGTGCTGGGCTGAAACCATGCTTTCGAAGTTGTTCATTACGGGTTGTTGCACACATTTCTATTACCTCTTCTGGTGGACGGTCAGTGCCTGGCCAACAACGATTGGCCATGTTCCTGAGAATGCGATTGGCAATTTCAACTTGACCTAGCTGATAGTGTGCTTCGGCAGCCGCATGCAACAACTGAATGCCATGGTGTGTTAGGTACTCTTGGAAATCCTGGGAGAGATTAGTCTTGGCAGGGTCCATGAATATTATCTTAGGAGTGCCGTAGGGACGTGTCCACACCTTATGGAAAGCTACTGACAGCTGATTGGGACCGCGTTCAACGATGATCTGTTGTGCGAAACCTGTGGCCATATCAACACATGTCAACACGTTGAACTTGACTTCGGTCATTTTTCCATTACGTCCCTCTCTCTTGAGTTCTACTTGAACAAAATCAATACCCACTATGTCATTCGGGTTCTCTGCATGGGGGATTGCACTCTTACGATATGACGGTGGAGGCTTGAGTTCATTACAAATGGGACACTGGAAGTTCCGAATGCAGTCCACAATTTCTTGACTGGCTTGGCAACGGTTCGCGAGCCTCAACATTTGTTCTGTCGATGCATGACCTGTGTTCACATGCAATTTACGAACCAATGCGGACACTCGCAGCTGCTTGGGATTCAAACTTCGGCTGTTCGAATTTGGCTCGTCGTGGTCTGGCAGTCTCTCTGATCGATCTTCTATCTCTTCTTCTAGTTGATCTTCTTCTTCATCTTGAGCTAAGATCTCTACTGCATCTGGACCCGAATGTCCATGGAGACTTTTGGCAAGACCATCGGCCATGACACGTGCAAACTTATTAGGATATGTCTCGGCCCAGGATGTCAGATTTCTACCTTTGTAGTTTCCTTCTAGATGATCATGACCATGCTTATGGTCGCACCGAAATGGGACAAGGTGCTGCATCAAAGACTCCTGAGTGCTGACAATCCGAGTTGGCTTCAAGACAGGGATGTTGGATTTGGGGCTACGGAGCCCGAGTGCACATTGGTCAATTCGGATTGACCAGGCTGGTCCAAGCACTAACTCCTGCCACATATCGGACGAGTGCGGATTCTCAGCATGTACATGACCTCCAAGGATGGTTTGGAGATGCCATGTTTCCGAAACACATTGCAGATGTCTTCTAGCTTGATGTCTCTTTTTCAATACTTCTTGTTTCCTAGACTCGGAAAATGCCATATTGAACCTCGACCAGGGACCCCAGCACTTACATGGGGGAGCAAACCAAATGTGATCAGGCTTTGTCAAGGCTACCAGGTATAGGAGATTTCGTCTATCCCTCAACCTACCAAGATCATGTCCATAATCTATCCCAATTTGGATTGCTGTTTTCTGGTTTCTCTTTTCGTACTGTTTGGACAAATTGGCTGTTCCTGTGAAAACTTCTATGAGTCCAACCTTGGAGTCAAGTTTACTAGCCTGGTTGCCCAACCAGTGGCGAAGTTCTGAAAGCACTTCCTGCCGATTGCTCTGCAGTCGCGACAAAGCCATGCGTACACCGACACGGCGTGCAGCTGTGATTGCGTCTTTCAGTTTCGTTTGGGTTTCTTTTGGAACATCCTGCAAGTCAAGATCTACCCAGTCAACCTCTTCATACAAAGTTTCGAGGGTGTTTGATTGCATGGTGTATTCCCAATCCCCTTCTATGTCATCATTACAACAACAATCACATTGGTGCGCTGATGGCGTCGGCTCTGCTGGTTCGACACGATCGGACTCACTGCCGGCACTCTCAGGTTCAGAGGGTGCTTGCTCGGATCGAAATGCAAAGATCGCAACCTGCATTGGGTTGACAGGTCTTCTGACCCGTCCGGCTGGACGAACGATCCATCCTGACATGAGCATGTTTCCATCTTTATCCATAGAGACTACATTCATATCAAGTGAAGTTCGTTCGGCTTCGGCAGGAATCCTTTCTAGTCTAGGTTTATATGCTACATAGGCATGCACCACCGGGTGTTCGGGACATGAAAACAATTGGGACAGCTCGGCACGAAAAGCACTGCAATCGACGTTTCCTCGTTTGGTATGTTTACACACAGTTTGAAACGCCCTCCGAGTATCACACGGGGTTGGCTCCATTTTTGGTGCACTTAAAACACTGTTTTTGTTCGTGTCCTGTCCTCTGAGTTCTTGGTGGTGCTCGAGATCAACGGAGATGGACTGGCGGTCCATCGCTTGGGCTTCATGCGGATTGGGCTCATTTGTATTCGAGTCGTTGAGGACTGTCTCCCACTCAGCAACCTGTGGCACCAGAGACAACAGCAGATGGCCATTTGCGGCCTGTTTCAGGGGTACATCTTGCATACCATGTTTTGGACTCGTGATGGTCATTCGGCCCAAGTCCAGTGTGGCCTGCATACCCTCCAACACCCTTCGTGACAGCAGGAATGGTGCGCTTCCAGGAACAACATATGTCGTGATATTCCCTTTCAACGAACCCAGCTGTACTGTCCACTTCAAACCAACAGCTGTTGTTTCGCTCTGACCATTAAAGCCACGAAGCTCAACTGTAGGCATTGTGACACGCACGGGTGGAGGAAAATTGCATTGTCTGAAAACCTGCTGATATCTCTGTGCTGTTTCCTCGCCAACAACGGATGTTGTACAACCAGTATCAATGATTGCAAAACCCGATGGAATTGAGGCCAGGAGAATTTCCAGTTCAGCAGCGGTGGACTCGGTCAGGGCATAGTTGAACTCGGTCAATGTCCTGTCAACAATCTCCACAGCTTCTGTCAGGTTGGCGTCCTCACGCCTCGGTGGTTTCTTCTTTGGGTCCTTTTGTGGTGACTTCTTGTCAAAGGACCTTTTCTCATAGCGTGGTGTTCTGGACGATGCAGCCTGAGTTCCCAGTGGAGCCTGGGACTGGCCGCCTTCGGTGGGTGGAATGGCCACCACCGGCATGTATGGTTGTCGTGCTCTTTTGATTTCCCTCACCTTCTTCTTTGACTCCTTGTAGGTGCGAAACTGTTTCTTGAATTCTTTCTTTGCTTTCTTCTGAATCTCATAGATCTCCTGCAGCTCTTCCTCAGAACCTGAACACAGAGATGTTTCGCCACCCTCAACTTGGTAGGCCTCTTCACCAGACCCGGAGTCAGAAAGTGGGTCGACGGAGGTGGATGAAGCTTCAGCAACTTGTTCAACAGCATAGGCTTCGCGTCGTGGTCTCACCTGTCGACGATCGTCCAGCCGTGGTCGCCGGTCATCCAATCTCTCCTCATAGTCACTAGCACGCAAAATCTTCTCAATGTCAACAAATCGACTGGAGCCGCCTGTTGAACGAATGATGTGGCTGCGTTGCTCACGCGACAAACCAAACTTTCTCATGAACAAGTGTCCCAAAACTGACTGTGGAAAAATCGGTTTTGGCTTTGTATGCGACTGCTCCAACGTTCCAAGAAGACGTTGCATACGGAGATGATCTTTTCGCTGGTCACCTTTCTGAGTCCCAGTGGACTTCCCCTGTGAAGCCTTTGAGCTCGACTTCGCACTTCGGACCGATGGAGTGGATCCGGTCCGACGATGAGGATCAAGGGGAGGATCAAAAGGACCTGGAGGAGGTGCTGCTCTGGCCTTGGCTTCTGGCCGGACTTCATCTCCAGCTTCTTGTTCAGTTTCATCAGTTTGTTCATTGGGATCGTCTGGAGGTAGGGCATGTTCGTCCGACTCTTCCAGACTACTCGAATCTTCCTTTTTCTTTTCTTCTTCGACTGCGGACTTCGGTTGCTTCTTCGACAGCTGACGCTCCTGTGAGATGAGCGTTTCCAGGCGATGCAGACTTGTCTTGAACCGGGATGTGAAGGAAGTGGCTCCCTCATGTCCTTTCCGCTTCAACCCAAAAAGGAACTCATCTATGGCCTCGTGGAGCTCGGTCTCGGGCAAATAACGGTAATGCTGATCAAGCGTCCGAACAATTTGCAGCCAGCCTTGTTCACATCGAAGGTCAGCAATTGGAATGTTTTCGGTCGCTTTCCAAGCTTCGCCAGACAATCTTCCGAGGACTCGAGGACCGGCCAGGTGTTGTTGCTTGTCCTCAAGGGATGCAACACCAAGGATCAGCTTGCGTCTGAACTCACGATATCCGCTTGGCTTCCCATCGAAGTAGAGGTCTTTGAGAGTGTCTTTGTAGTCCATGGCTCAAACTGCCAACAACAAACAACAATGTTCCACAACCAACAATCAATGCTCAATGCTCAACAATCAACGTCAACTCAACCTTGCACCACTGCACAAGCAATGTACCTAGATGGCACGAGCTGCTCTGCGGTTTGCACCGCACCCGGGATCAGGCCGGGACCTCACAAAGCAATCCTGGAGCTTGGCAGCTCCGCTACCATGTAAAATGGTGAGCGGAGGATCAACAGCAACTTGTAAAGGCAACTGTCACAACTCAACCAACGGGGATCAAAGAACTCCGTCACGATCAAAAGCAAGCGGTGCGCTCACTTTTCCATTGCGCAACCGTCGGGGGCTCGGATGAGCCAGACTCAAGGGCCCTTGTGCCAAAATGGTCACATGAGAGGGCCGCCATCTCATATCATGATATGCATGTTCCAATGCATACAAATTCACAATATATATATATATATATGTGAAGAGGTTTTCAATTCAAGTGGGGGGTATGGAGGGTTGTTAATCAAGATTCTACGCTACTCTTAGGACTCTTGGCATTTGCCAGATATATTGCTGAATGCCAAACAAAACAAGTTGCTTTGCGAGGAGGTTCTCAAGGCAGGAGGACTTGGCGGAACCAAAGTGCGCGCGCAAGGTCCTGGGGGTCCTGGTTCACTGGGTTCACGTTCTGCAACTCTGCTTCGGTTGACTTTGCCTGGCCACGAAACGGCGGAATTGAAAGTCCTCCAAAGAAAACGTCTTTATCTTACCCGCCCAGGTGCAAATGGTCGGGTCATGTCGTGGAGAATTGGACTTCACAAACCCACACCACCGGTCTCGACCACCAAGAGTTGCGTGTTCAAGTGCCGGTCGAGGCTCGTGTTCGATTCAGGTGATCCAACATGATCCAACGTCAGGTGCGTTCGGGCCGGACCACGCATGACAACGCACGTCAGGCCGGACCTTCGTCTTAAATCAGTTCAATCAGTTCATTGGAGTCACAGCTCAGCTCGGTCCATCGGACCGTGCCTTCGGCGAGGCAACCGGGTGGCCGACTCCACTCAGCCGTTGGGGCCAACTCTGGTGACTCAGCCGTTCAGCCCGGAAACGGTCCGGGTCTCGCGCGCGCGCGCGCGTTGCTGGAGCCCGATCGACCCTGGGGCCTGTGCCTTCGAGCTGCAGGAGGGTGGAGTCGTCAAAGTCACAGGCCTCCTGCAGAGAACGAAGGTGAAGAACAAACACTTGGAATAGGTTGATGATTGATGTGTTGTGTTTGGGAAGTCAGAAGATGCATTATGGGACATGTATGCGCAACGGTGTGCAACGCACATCTCAGATGTGCTGCAGAGGTTTTGGGGGTATACGCCACCAGCAGAAAGTATTGCCAGGTATGACCCCAACAGCAGTGGCATTCAGGCATCGCCAGGTTGGTTGACACCGTCGGTCTCTCGGATAGCGGGTCTGTTGTCACCGGTGATTCTTGCCAAGGTCAGATGTCCTAAGGAGCCACAGGATTCTGTTCCAACTGGAATTGCAAAGAGGTCAGGAACTAGGATTCTGTTCCTTAAGGTCTTCTGTTCCAATGCTAAGAGGTCAAGGAATTCCGGGGCACGTGCTGCACTGCGCAGATTCTGTAATGGCTCACTCCCAAAAGGCGTAGCTGCGCAACGGTGCGCGGGCGCGGTGTAGCGACCATGCAGCTTCTGCTGGGAAGCGTCCGCCCCTTGGAGCGACCATCCAGTTTGGAGCGTCCTGAGTTTGGCCTATTTACATCTTGCCTCATCCTCCAAGAAATAAGAATTATGAGTCAGTTGCCGGGAATTAGGTTATACTCCAAGCGTCAAGAGCCCTACCCTTTGCCAGTTTCAATCGTTCCGCCGGTCCTCTGCCCTTCCAGGAATTAAGGACACAGAGGTGCATAGCAACAAAAACGCCAGCCGCATGGAGTTCGGAACCGCTTGAGCAAGAACATGCTTCGGCGGGTCTGAAATGCCCTCTTTAATGACTGTGAAGGCTTGGGATAGTACCTTGACGATCAGTGTCTCTGGACTCTGGATCTCTTGGCAATGTCCATCCATTTGGGCGCGCAGAGGTGGTGAATGTTGCTTGGACATGCGACTCTTGTGCCCTCTATGGCTTGTGGCCACCCCAAGGGCTTCAGTGAAGCAATGGAGCACCAAGAAAACGATTCTGGATTTGCTATTTGCTACTAGTAGTAAGGCCAGGAGCTCCTAGTAGCTTCTTGCTCCTAGCAGCGATGCCTTTTGTTCCTAGTAGCTGTTTGTGTGTCCAAGTATCCATGTGAACATTTGGATCAGACTTTTCTGTTCGGGAAAAAGGTGCCCGGCAATAGGGTAGTTTCTGTTTGCCAAAAAGTCGTGATGTCGTGTCATGTGCTTTGCTTCAAAGTGGAGGACTGGAAAGAAGTGGTCTAAGAAGACGTAGACCTGATCGGGAAGGTAAGACTAGCTGAAGGTGCTGGCGTCCTTTTGCAACTGCTCAAAGGCCAGTGGAATGTCTTCGACATCACTGACCACTAAGATGTTTGCTTATCAAAACAAGCAAAATCTTCAACGATCAAGGCTGGCTTCAAGTAAGGCTCCAGTTCAATACTAAACAAACGACTTTGAATGAGCACCATCTGTTCATTCAAAGAACCCGTTGCTCCGCAAAGAAAATGACCAGAATTAGACTGAATATCATGAGAAACTACTCTCTTCGGTGCTTTATCGCCTGGGAAGCCACATGAAGCCACTAAGAACCCCGCAGTCCACGGTCTCTCCTCTCACCATCGACGCGAACCGCTGCCGCCGCGAGCCGCCGAACCGCGCCGCCTAACGGGCGACATGCTCCCGTCGTAGTCGGTCCAACTGTTGGATCTTCTGCAGCTTCAGGAGTGAGTGCTCCACCTGCGCCCGACAGGCGAAGAACATCGGGCAGACAGGAATGAGCTGGGCGGTCTGGGGAAGGGAAGGTTTCCACGGCGAACCGTGTCGGTGGGTGGTCCGGGGGCGGTCTGGGGTGTGGGTAGAGGACTCATGACGGGGGCGCGCGGACGCAAATGAGGTGGGTGCATGAGTTGCATTGTTGTTGTTTTTGCGGGGCGGCATACAGCAGGTGCTGGAAATGGACCCTGAAGAGTTCGGAGAATGCCGATCGATCATCTATGGATGAGATCGATGAGAGTTCCAAGATTCTGTCGTTTTACAGGAACAAGGGCATCGCTACTAGGAACAAGAAGCTACTAGGGGCTTCTGGCATTACTACTAGGAGCGATCGGACGCTACCAGGGGCTCCTGGCTGTACTACTAGGAACAAGGACGCTACTAGGGGCTCCTGGCCTTGCTACTAGGAGCAAGGACGCTACGAACGGGGCTCCTGGCTGTACTAGGAACAAGAAGCTACTAGTAGCTATTTGCTATACTAGTAGCACTTGTTACTAGGTGAATCAACCTGAGGGATCTGAGCAAGGCTGAGAGATCTCCGCACGGTAGAACAACAAATGCATAAATATGGGCTATGGCATTGGGTAGTCATCCTCAAATAGGGAGACCGACCTCCCTTCGGCCCTGGAAGCAGGAACATAGACTAGTCTACCCAGTGGTTGGGTGTTTACTCATATCATTTCATTTCGTTGTCTCTTCTGCCAGGAATACCCTGGGAATCCTCGCAGGAAGACCCTTATCAAAGTGCTTAATTACTGGCAGGACCTGAGAAAGAGGATCGTCGTTTTTCCTCGTTTTGAGAACCTTGACCCCAACACGATTATTAGGAGTTTCGCACGGAACCCTGCAAAGATGGCTGTCGAACCTTACGTTGGGGGGGCATGTCCGTTCCACAATAAAATCCGGTGCGGCGCCATGTGATAGATTGTTCACCAGTCACCTGCGATCTTTTTCAGCCATGCCAAGAATCCATCGAGAGCCGAAGGAAAGAACCATGCCCACGAACTCCATAAGAACCGGCCGAGACTTTGGATACATGTTCTTCAATAACACATTAAAAGGATGACTCGCTTGGACTTCTTCAGACTCCCGTTTTCCATCCCCTGACCACACCTTGTCGCTGGGATCGGCCCGGTGGGAGCGCAGGGTTACGGCGCCGCCGGCGCCGTTGCCGTGATCGCGCGCTGACCTCGGATCGAGCCGAGCGGCGGGTGATGGCTGAGCTGGATCAAATGGATTCTCCTTAGGGGTCTGGCTGCAAATTCAGGCAACACCCATGCAACATGCAGGATGTGGAGAGCATCGCTGCTAGGTTGGAGGCCATTACTACCAATGCAACATGCAGGATGTGGTGACCCCCGTTTCGACCCCCTGGAAGAAAGGAGAATAGAATTAGTCTACCGATAGGGCCAGGAGCTCTCCCGGATTAAACATACACACCCAAATAGGATGACTTTAGAGACTATGTTCCAATCACCAACCCGAAATGGGATGCTTGTAAAAAAAGATATCAACTGATATCAAATAGAATAAAAGACACATCATGACATCATGTGTGTTTTTTCACAGTTTTTCACAATATAACAATATAGAGTATCTGTCTTTCCCAGCTTGAACACACCCCGTGGTTCCAGTTCCCGTCAGACAAGAAACGATTCATCGGATTCTGTTTTCTTTGACTTTCTTTGTAATTTTCCTGGGCTATTATTGACGTCAGGTGCTAGCCAACCATGTCACACCAAACACGTGGCAGGTGGAATACCACTGTGGGCGCCCGCCGTGTCCTGTCCTTCACTAGAAAAATCATGAGCTTCTTGGATTTGACCATCCGAATCCGTCGGGCCTTTGACTCACAAAATGTCTGCTGAACTTGGATCGCACAATAATGTCCGTACTTGGGAATAAAAAGATGTCGATCTGGTACCATCATATACCCATATGTTGTTCACTTGGGGGTATCCCCTGCATTTAAAAAAAAGAGCCAAGGGCCAATAGCGTCAAAGGCAATCTTAGGCGAGGCAAGAGGCACGCCAAGTGGCTCGGCGGAACGCGCGGAGCGCGCCGCTCCGCGTGGTTCTTGCACTTGCAGCTGCTGCACTTGCCACTTCCACTGCGGCATCTGCTGCTGCCTCGCGCGACCGTCATGAATGGAACGTGCTGATCCACATCGTCACGAGGGTTCTTACCGGTCATTGGGTCTACGGTGCGACAGTCGGGCGGACTGGTGGTCCTAGGAATGCTGAAAAGAATGGGTTGAAATCCAGTAGTACCAGGGTTTAAGGTCCAAGGTCTCGACACTCAGCTGAATCTCAGACTAGTCACTGGGATTGCCAAAGCTGTTGCTGTTGACTCTGCCACTGCTGCAGTTCTTGCCCGACTCGAAGTACTGGAGGCACCACCTCTGGCTTCCTCATCCTGACGTGAACCGGAAAAAAAAAAAAAAACTGCCGAGATGGCTCTGTTCACAGATCCCGGCGCGGCTCAAGGCCGGACGACCATCTATAGGATCAACAGCAGCCAAGGCCTTAAAGGGCCTAACAATGTCTGAATCCTTGGTTTAGTTCTGCTTTGCTTGGCAAAAAAAAAAGACCGTCAAAGCCTCGGATGAGCTTCTCCACCCCAAACGGACTTCAATGGTCCGTTGTTTTCACGAACAACGCCCGTGGACGTTCCACGGAAGCGGGGGACCTTCCTGGGAACATGGGATCTTCACAAACCGGTGGTTGTTACGTACCCTTCCTGGAACTCACATGGAAGAGTGTGGATGGCAAACGGCCCCGAGTTCGGAAGACCATGAGTTTTCCATACTTCCAAACAGAGGGTGTTTTCCACTTCCATGTTATCAGGGAGAGTATCTTGGGAATATTCACAGCTGGGTAGTTCAGCCCGGGAAGACCATTTAGCTTTACTTTCATAATAGTTCATAGGGGGTTTTCCAGTCCAACGTCCATGGAACGTGAGTGGGAGTCTATCCTTGGATTCCAATGGGACACTGCCCTAGATTGCTATGATGCGCTGGGATCACCAGGTTGGAGGCCATCGCTATTAGGGTGCCAAGGCCCAGGTCTGGCACCCAAGTCGAGGCACCGTTTGGAGGCACCGTTCGCATGTTTGGATCCCCTGTGAAGATATCTTTGGATTTGGATCCCCGGTTTCTTCCAAAGACTTTAGCTCAAAAAATATCTTCAAACAGGGGAAAGTCGGCTTTTTTGATCAAAGGCTTTTCTTCAAGCATCTTCAAACCATGTAAATCCCCGATCTCTAATTTACTAGAGCTATCTATAAGTGTTGCCTAAGCCACGAACATATGGGCCGGGCCCCTTGAAAGGAACGGGAACTCTGGTCCGACCAACCACCGTGGTCCGACCAACGGCCAAAGAAGGTGAAAAAAACGAAAAAGGATTCAACCCGTGCATGAACCCAAGACTCGCTGAAGAGCTCTCTTTTGGGGGGTACGTCTCCATAGTCTCGAAATCTAGTTGAATCAACCCAACATTCTTTACACGTCTATCCCTGAAAGAAAGGAGAAAAGGAAATCCACGTCCAGCCGATGAAATAAACAAAAACTCCTACAGTAATCCTTCAGCGTGTGCCTGACAAGGTCGTGGCCGCCATGCACCATCTTGCGGGGCGCCATGGAATGCAAGACCTGAACCGGAATCGCCGGCGCTTTTCAACTGCCGAAGTGACGCAAGTGGTCCCCTCCAAAAGAAACAATTGCCAAGAAGAACCGATTGGGTGTACTAGAATAGGGTCACCCTGACCCACTGGATTTAAGTGGATCATAGTGGATCTATTCTGTTCCATGGTGTCTTCGAGAGGTAACCCAATCTCAATACATACAGGTGTGTATTGAAAACCCATGGAAGAACGGAAATAGACCAGCCTCTCCATTGGTTGGGTGAGCACGCACCCATTCCCACTTCCAGGACTTTGAAACATTGTGTTCAATGCGGGCCTTGACACAGCGGGTGGGGTTTGCTGAAGCTGATTCTGAGGATCACGTCATGCAAACGTGAGTCACAACCTGC